AGATATACAGACCAGATCTCTGAGGAGCTCGGTGGAGCCCTCCTCGGCAACAGACCACGCCCACAGGAAGTCCAACCAGATCATGACTTTTGACCAGTTAGCCATGGCTGCCCCAAAGGGCCAGGGAACTGTTTTACTTTCTGGACCCAGAAAGGCCCGTCAAGTTTATTGGCATTTTGGCAAGGCTCCTAGCACCCTCCACAGCCACACTAAGCCATGTCTGATCCAAGGGGCGGAAATTTGAACGAGCATGAGGTTGCCGTGCCAGTCAAGGCTACAAAAACTAGAATGTTTGATAAAAAATGTAAAAGCCAATCAGTCAATTGATTTTTTTTTGCTCAAAAAAAAAAAGTATAAAATTAGCACCAGTATATGAACTCAATAGCTTCATTTAACATCAATATCAGTATTTTTTAATAGGCAAAGGATATGTATATATGCGTGAACATCTTGCGATGTATTAAAAAGTAAAAATAAAATAGTCAGATTGCATCCTTTTCTATGTAAAAGGAATGTAATTATTAGACTTTTTGTTCGATCATTTATGCTGTTTGTTATGGTGATGGAATTGTGTATTGACTGGAACCAAAATCTGCATAAATTTGCAATTTAGTTGTTGCCTGATGCTTTCCAGAAATTTGGGGAGGGCAGGTCTGGAAAATTACTGCAAAGACCTTAGATGAGCAAATATTATGCCACTCCTTAGAAAAGCAATTGTTGATTGGGGGGGACGGACGGCGACAGTATTTTTAATAAAAACATATGTTCATTTATTTGATTTATTAGAGTAATAAAATTCTTTTGATCAAGAGCACAAACTACACAGGCCTCCCCTAATTTCTCCTACAAGCAATCTGTTTCACAGAAGAGAGAACAAGACCTCCCCCCCATTTCAATATGAGTGTACCCCACCTTTATACTTCTGCCTTTCTATTAAACGTACACAAAGATTAACCTTTTGTTTTTCTTTAATCTACTGCTGGGGAAAAAGGCTGGAAAATTGTGCCACTTTAGTCTGGCAACGTCATGTCAAATTCAGTGGTATGACCTTGGAATATTTGAGTCCCGTGAATTGATGCTTGGTTAAAAACATCAGATCTTGGGGTACAAAGAAGAAAGCATTTGACACAAAGAAGGGGATAGATTTCTTTCTTTTAATTCATGCACGTGCAGAAGCAAACCCACCCCCCTCTGCATAACACCTAACAATCTTCTACTTTGTCAAGAGATTTGAACCTAAGGTTCTTATATAGGACTAACAAATAATATTTTTATTTTATTTTATTTGTCAAGGATGTACAAGATGTCCATAAACATGGACATGAACAAAAGAAATGAGTACAAATAAATGGGAACAGTAGGACAGGGATGGTAGGCATGCTGGTGCACTTATGCACGCCCCCTTTACAGACCTCTTAGGAATGGGGTGAGGTCCATGGTAGATAGTTTGAGGTTGAAGCTGTGGGGATTTGAGGATGTAACAATGGAGTCTGGTAGAGCATTCCTGGTGTTTAACACTTTGTTGCTGAATTTTCGTATTTTCTGCAATCCAGTTTGGAGCAGTTTACCTTGAGTTTGTATCTATTGTTTGCTCACGTATTATTGAGGTTGAAGCTGAAGTAGTTGTTGACAGGTAGGACGTTGTAGCAAGACAATTTTGTGTACTATGCTTAGGTCATAAGTTTTCCTTTGGGTCCAGCATGGTGTTTGAACCTAACTATTATAATTTCAGTGGTTATTCCTCCTTCATTATAAAGGACAGCCCTTTCTTTCAAAAAGCTGTCCTTTAGAATTATTGAATTTAATTATTATTATTTTTGTTTTTCTCTTGGATTTCCTTTGTAAAGCAAAGTTATAAACAAACAGTTTAAAATGTGTTATCCATACAAACCTCTATCAGATTTTCCTCTTTGTCCTTTATTTTTTCCAAGAAAATAATGATAATGCACATAATGGAAAGAGTTTCTGGGGAACATTTAAAAAGAACAAAGAGCTAAAAAGAAACAAGCCACTATGATAAAAATCCCTTGCTGGGTTTCTGACCATAGTCTGAGCGCTAATTACTTTCAACATTTTTTAAAAATTATACCTGCTTCTCATCTTCAAATGGCAGCCTCTCTTTCTGCTATTTGACCCATTGAAGACTTCCATTCATTATTCATGGCTTCCACCACAGAGAAATCCTGTTTACCCTCTTTCTTGCTCTTTCTCCCTCTCATTCTCTTCATCAGGGTCATCATCATCATCATCATTCTTATCATCCTCATTACATCTTCAGTTCTTAGGCTCTTTTGATTATTACTTAATTCCATTTTGGACACTGCCTGGCATTGACTGACTCTAGGCCATGCACAAACAATAACATAAAAACCAATAAGAAACAAAAATAATGTGCAATCTGAGCACATTAAACAAGCAGAAAAACAAAAATAAAAACACACCCAACAAGGGGCCCCATTGGTCTTCACCCCAAGCCTTGGGAGTACAAACAGGTCTCCAAGGCCTTGTGGAATGTCAATAGGGTAGAAACCACACCATTTCAGGGGTGGAATCTCATTCCAAAGGGCAGGTAGCACAGCACCAGCTGTTCTTGACACAGGAAGTCTTTCTTTGTTGCCATAAACATCTTCAAGGGTTCAAAACTTCTACCTGCAAACAAAATATTTAACTTAAAATATGCTTCTGATGTGTTGTTTTCTATAGATTTCTTTCTTCTTTCTTTTTTGCTGCTTACATCAAGAAAGTTTTCAGGTATTAAAAAGTAGCCAGTTTTATAGAGCGGGAAGGATAGAGTAGCCAGAAGATGCAAGCCAGTATGTATGTATGTATGTATGTATGTATGTATGTATGTATGTATGTATGTATGTATGTATGTATGTATGTTTGTTTGTTTGTTTTTGGATGGATGATAGATAGATACTATAGATAGGTAGAGATTGATAGATACTGTAGATAGATAGAGATAGATACTGTAGATAGATAGATAGATAGATAGATAGATAGATAGATAGATAGATAGATAGATAGATGTTAGATAGATCAATAGATAGATAGATATAAATAGATAGATGATAGATAGATAGATAGATAGATAGATGTTAGATAGATCAATAGATAGATAGATATAAATAGATAGATGATAGATAGATAGATAGATAGATAGATGTTAGATA